GTGTGTGGTGTTCTTTAATGACCTTTTAGTAGAATTTTAAATTTTGGTCATAAAGACCATGTGAATTCTCCATAAAGCTAATTTCTATATTTTATAGTTTTTGTCACTTTGTAGATTGTTTTGAAATATCAACTGTATTGTACTTATTAGTTAGAGATTATGTAAATTAGTAATTCTTAACTATGTAAAAATAAATCATTTGGTCAGCTTATACAAAATAATCATGCTCAGACCCTATTCCTGATAATTAAATCCAAATTGAGTCTACATTGGTGAAATACATACGGGTTTGTGATTGTCATTTCCCTTTGATGTACTGTCCATTTTAACAGTAATTATTATCCACACTGTCCTTTATGATGTTTTCAACTTTAACATCTACTTTTCCTTATGTTAAAAATTTTAACATTGACTTTTTTTTAATTTCCTGTGTTTCTGTTATAAGTCTTCAAAATTTGGCTTTCAAACTTTCTGATTCTTATTGTTCTAAATATTGATTTTGCAAGTGAGATGTTGTAGCTTTTTAAATAAATTGGAGAACTGTCTTTTGATTAATTTTATCATTCTTAAAACATTTACTCTTGCCCACTTATTGACTCTACACTTATGTCTGCCATCTCATTTTGTGATTTTTTTTTTCGTATATATGTGTGTATGTATGTCTGCAACTCTAAGCACTTGGATTTTGATGACCAACTAACACACACCACCTTAAGTTTATGAAATCATAGAGGAGTGCCAGATTTCTGACTGATGGCAGCTCCTAGATTGGTTCTTTGGGCAGTCTGAGAAAGAGAACAGAACATAACTAGAATGCTCTTTAACTTAGGCCACTTCAGTTGGTTATTTCCTTCCTATTTAGAGACCAGCTTTCTTTCTTATCTTTCTACAGTAGCTTTTAAGTATTCCTGTGAATGCCTTAGAACCAATCACCTCTATCCTTGCTATACATTATAACCATTGTGGGGCTAATTAAGAAATATCAATGTTTGAATGTTACCTGAAATTATTATCATTGGAAATTATACCATTTGGAAATTGGTATTTTTCTTCCTTTTAAAGCCCCATATCCTTCAGGGTTCTACTGGGCAGCCAGTGGCTAAACCCCATTGTATTATAAATAACCAACGTCCATGGTTCATAATGTTCACATACAAGATCTTGGTCCTGGGATTATGCTTTCCTGGAAAGTTTTGTAAGCCTCCTACATGGGGAAATCTGTTTGTTGGGTTCTGTGTATTCTGAATTCTGGTCCTTCCTGACAAGTCTCATAGAACATTTGTGAGTGAGATAGAGAGTGCACTATCCCGCTCAGACCTTCCAGCTAATTACTTCTGGATTAATCTTAACCAAGGTAATGTGGAGGGCTAGGAGCTTAGAATAAGACACAAGAAGAATTTTGTATCTGAAGCTTTGTTGTTTCTCCCAGGCCTTCTCTTGCTCTTCACTTCTATAGGCCCCCTACCCAGGGACTTAACCTCTATCTTTTTTAGGTTCCACATAGGACATTTTTGTTAGGTGTGCCATGAAGCTTTAAATGCTGTCAAAGTCTTTGTGTGTGCTCTGATGTTGAATGCTTGGTTTGGGAGCAGCATTTCCTCTGAGTTCTTTCTTCTGCTCACACTGCCATTGTTCTTCAGCTAGTGTTGATTTGAATGTTGATAATATCTTGTAGGCTACTTTGCCATCTTCCTGAGGACAAGGGCCTTCATCTCTGATAACTACTATTTCCTCTGGCCCCCCAAAAGGCTTTGCTTGGTCCTCAAAATCATCTTTATTCATTGCTGTTATCTTCAAATAGTGAGTTTTTCCTTCTTAAACAGCTTAGATTTTCTAAGTTTCAATGCAAATGTTGGAATTAATCTTGAACAATAGCATATGTATTAATTCAAAATGCAAGTAGACTGCTATTTAGTCATGTAATGAGATGTATGTGACTATGGTTTCAATTTTGGCATGATTCTTAGTAGTTTCAGTGAGTTTATAAATATCAGTTTATACTTAGCATGCCACATTTATTATGATTGATACAAATCAGTCTATTGTGTTTACTCTGAAAAAATAATATTTTATAGAGGACATAGACCTCTAATATATTTTAGTTTCCTGGTTTATTATTATCTAACATTTCTATAATATCTAAATTTTCCATGGCAAATAGTCTACAGGGAAAGTAAAATAGTAAAGGATATTTTATTATACCATGCAACACAGAAAGGGAAAACAGTTGCTAAATTTCTGGTAGCAAATAGAGTCTACAGAGAAAGTAAGATATTTAAGGGTATTTTATATACCATGCAACACAGAAAGGGAAAAACACACGTAAGTTCTGGAGTGAATAAATCAAGTGCAGGGCATACCCTGCAGCCTCAGGAAACAGGATGTGTTTGCAAAGAAGAAGGCAAGTTATGGTACAGGTGATAAAGGGCTCCAACAATCAGCCACAGAGTGGTCCTACAGAGAATTACATACCTAAGGACATGGATGTTGTCTTTATACAAAATCAGTCTGAGAGAAGAGTCTATCACAGTTAATGGAAAGGGAAAGAAGAAAACTCTAAATGGGTTATGAGCAATTTAGTGAAAGAATAAAACAAAAGGGGTAGGGGCAGGGAGAAATTGAGAGAGCGAGAGAAAGAGAGAGAGAGAGAGAGAGAGAGACAGAGAGACAGAGAGACAGAGAGACAGAGAGAGAGACAGAGAGAGAAATTGAGGGAGAGTAAAACAAGCATTTGGTACAACTAAATGAACAGATTGGGAGAGTTTTGTTTCTCCCTTTAAGAAAATGTCACAATTTAAATGGAATTTAATAATTTCTAAAACTTAATTTGTTTTCCTTTTATTATGGTCACCAACTTACCCAATATAGTTCACTTATTGTTATTTTTTATCTTTAATTATCAGTTTATCTGCTCAAATATTAAGGAATAACTTAGATATAAAATAATTATACTTTATAATATCAGTATGAAATATTAATCTCATTTTTTGGAAAGAATAAAAAATACTAATTTCTCATATCTATAATAACATATGCATCACTATATTGTGTTTGAAACATTAAATATCTTTTTAAATTCAAAGCAGACATTTAAATTGAATAAATTCTAAGTAAATTATTTACTCACTAATTTTCTTATAGGCAATGGAACATTTAGATTTAGAGTTTGTTTATGTAATAAAATTAAAATAAACTTTGCACACAATTTTAAAAGATTCAGAAACAGGACAATGGTATGTATCTGACTAGTGAATTGAATTAAAAGATTATGGGCAAAATCTGTACTAATATATTTAAAAAGGAAAATTCTGTGATAATTACCATGTCCTGCTTTCAGTTAATGAATGGAAAGCCTTACTGAAGATCTACAGACTCTTATTACAGAGGTTACATGGGAATACTAATTATTATTGTATTATTATCTAAAAAACATTGTCTTTAAATATGAAAAATTTGAATATTTTAAATAAATTCAAACACTGCCCATCTCTTGAAAAGTCATTGCAGTAGTTTTCCCCAGATTAAATACTCCACCATTTTGCGAACCAGGTATGTTTGGAGGTATCTAAGTGGCTGAAAATAACCAGATAGTCAACAAACATCTATAATCCTACCAAGACAGTTTACTGGTGATTCAGTAGTCTCTCAGTTCCTTGAATTGAAAAGCTAGGCATTTTTTTCCCCTCAGTTGATAGATGTGACTGCTTTCAAACTCAGATTTTGCTCAAAGCTCTTAAGTTGAAAAATAAGTGCACATACTTTATCAGACAAGCATGTTTGAAGTTTGAAGTTTTGGACTTAATTTGTTCTAAGACAATTAGAAATTTTCTTAATTACTGTTTTAGTCTTCTAAAAACTAATGAGAGCGAGCGAGCGAGAGAGAGAGTGTTTGTGTAAATATAACCACTGCTGTGTTTTCTTGAAATAATAGCCATATGTGAATTATTGATAAGTAACCCCATGGGTTATATTCATTGATCCCTTTTTCCTTTGGTGTGGATGCCATTATTTCTGATGTTTTTAAGATTGGTGCCAGGAGTGATACAGACTGAGGGAGCTGCTAGCACAAGCATGGTCTGTGCCCCTGAATGAGCACTTCACAGTCAGGCTGTAGTGTACTTAACTAAATTATTCCCAATAATTTAGACACATGAACTAGAATACAACCAAAATTTTCATCTAGATTCAAATGAAAATTAAGCTAACACTTTAGTGTGAAGATGTCAAAAATAAATTGTCTATTTGCATTCCTGTTCTGGTTTACCACATTTTCCAGTTTTGAATAGGATCAAACTAAAGGAATCTTCATAAATTAGCATGCTAACCCAAGAGAAAGCAATTATCCAGCATCATAAATCTCAAAATAAGAATTCTGCTGGTAACATTTTGTAAATCTCACTGATATATGAGGACCTTGGGCTATGTATTTGGGTAGGGCTTGCACTTAGCGATCATTGCAAAAAATAGAGGGAGAATTAAAACACCAGAAATATAAATTTAAAAAATCCTGAGATGTTTCTACTGTTTAAAGTGACTTTTATCTTTTGAGGGATACAGTAAGAAATCAGTTAATTAGTTAAAATCATTTATTTTTCTCATAATAACTATTTAATCACAATTCCATTTTTTTGTTGTTGTTGTTCCAGAGAATGTGTGTCTTTTTATGCAAGACCCTCAGTTGGATCACCAGCACTAAAAAAGGTAAAAGCACAATACTTGCTATGAAAATTTTTCTTCCAATATTAAAGGTCCAATAACAAAAATATAAAAAGCATTAAAAATTCACAGATTTTCAAGGTAGAATATGGTGCATTGATATATATATTATAAAAATAAACAAACATATTTCTTAATAAATGAAACTCAACATAACTTGAGAAAATTGCAAATACATGCCAATAATAAGTTACTATAATAATTGACTACTGTAAACTATAAGTAGTATATATTTATGTACCATAGAGCTCTCCATACAGATATAACCACAGATATATACCATATGTAGCATACCACTGCATGTTAGGACCTAAGTATTTTAAAATCTAAATGATTAAGTATTTTATAATATACCACATTTTATTTTAATGAACCAATCTATACAAATGAATTAGAAGCAACATTTCTCCTACGTGCTTTCTCTAGCAATGTTTTCCTATGCTAGACTTGTTCCTTCAAAGAAAAGGTTTTCATCTCTTTATAATTTTGTTCTGAAAAATAATATTTTCCAGTGCTAGGTCTCCATCTATCATTTTACTCATGTAAGTGAGTAAATATCTTTTACCAAGACAAATGAAAATTCGTCTCCTTTTCGTCAGATCTTTAGCTTTCTTCCTCTCATATTGGAGAAATATATTTCTTCTCATGTTTTAGTTCCCTTTAAAAAATGTCCCTTTGAATAAGACCATCATTTGACCCAATGGTCCCACTCCTCAGTATGTAGCTGGAGGACTTAAAATTAGCATACTATAGCAACACAGCCACGTCCATGTTTATAGCAGCTCAATTCACAATAATTAAGTTGTGGAACCAACCTAGGTGCCCTTCAATAGATGAACAAAGAAAGAAAATGTGATTGATACACACACACACACACACACACACACACACACACAATAGATTACTCAGTCATAAAGAAGATTTAAATTATGGCATTTGCCAGTAAATGGATGGAACTGGAGACTATTGCTAAGTGAAATAAGCCAATATATATATATAAAAAAAAGGTTGAATGTTCTCTCTGATATGCCGATGCTAAAACACTATAAGGGAGAATTAGAAATTCATCAAATTAAACAAAAACAAATGAGAGTAAGGGAGCGGGGATGGGAATAGGAAAGACAGTAGAATGAATTGTACATAAGTTTCCTATGTTCATATATGAATACACAAGCAGCGTAACTCCACATCATGTACAACCACCAGAATGCAATCCTAATTAGAATAAGTTATGCTCCATGTATATGAAATATGTCAAAATACACTTTACTGTCATGTATATCTAAAGAGAACAAATTTTAAAAATGAAAAAAAAAACAATTAAAAATGTCCCTTTGTATTGGTAGGTAATGTATTAACTTCTGATATTTTCTCAAGTACAGATGGTCACTTTGTTATTTCACTTTATAAAAGAAGGGTACAATCTCCTCTCCATTGTTTTTCCATTATTGTATGTATTTTCCATTAAAGAATCAGAGTGACGATGTTCCCATTTTTTATTCTGACATTTTGTTTTCCCTGAAGTTTCTAATCATTCTTTTCAATATACTATTTATAATAAATCTACCCTATATTTCTTTTATTAACCTATCCTTTCAACTGTTGTATTATTGTTATTGTTATTATTATTTTGGAAATCTTCATTCAGATTTCTTCTCTGCTTTGATCTAAATCAGTAGCTCTGTTTGTTACATTTCTTTCCTGTTCACTGAATTCTGTCTTTTTCCTTCTTTTGCTTACCTCTCACTGCCCCCACTTTTTAAAAAATAAATTCTGGTGTGCTGTAAAGCATGGAGATGATTCAAGGCAGAGCCAGAGATCCTGCCTTTCCCAGTGGTATAGCTGCCACTCCTCAAGGATGCACTCTGAGTAGCAGTGCTCTAGACTAGTGCTGTCCAATGTCCAATAGAAACAGAATGCAGGTTAAATATACTATTTTAACGTTTCTAGTAGTCATAAAGAAATAGGTGAAATTAAATTTAATAAAATACCTAACCCAATATATCTAAAATTTCAACTTATTGATATTTAAACTTATTCAAAAAGTATCTTCATAGTTTTTCATACTAAATCTTCAACATCTGGAACATATCCTGCACTTCACAGCAAATTTTGATTTGGACTAGCCACATTTTGAATGTTCCCCAGTCCCATGTAGCAAAGTATTGGTCAGTGCAGTCCTACAGAATCCCTTACGTGTGTGCATAGGGATACATTTACAAAAAATGCTCAGTTACTGTACAAAATAGTGAAACAATGTGAAAGACAATCCTAAATGCCTGTTGCAAGAAAGTTAACGAGTGGACTGTGATATAATAATATTTAATTATATTACCATGCAGAATTAAAACTATAACTTCATACCACAGGGGTGAATTTACAAACAAATTGGAGTAAAAAAAAGTAAATTGCATATAATTGCACTTACACAATTAAAAAAAACTAACCGTAAACACATGCACACACACACACATACACACAAACACATGATAGAGCACAAAAGCAATCCAGTGGAATAATAAAACTAAAGTCGTGGCCGTGGTTTCCTAACTGGCCTTGGGAGATACTGAAAGAACTGCTGGGAATAGAGAGTTGTCATGGGAGGGCATATAGGAAGCTCTGAGAGCTCTGAGTTTTGATAATAGACTAGCTGTTCTGTTGGCTGTTGCTGTCAAGGGTGTTGGATTTTATGTAATTATACTGCAAGCCTCTTCACTTACTATATAATAAAATGAGTTTTCTCCAAGAAAACACAGCCCAAGACAATGGCTGAAATGCAGGTGTTTGCTTTGAGAAGTGGTTCCAGGAAACAGAACAAAGCATCTAGGGAGAAACAGGGAGGAAGAGAAGGCCTATAGTTATTGAAAACATCTGGAAGACAGCTGGAGCTAAAATCTGCCAGGACCTTCCATGGAACCAAATAGAATATATACCTCAGAATTTTGGCTCAAGGGGAAATGAGGTGCATTCATCACCAGCTCCTTAGTCCAGGCTGCCCCTGAGGTGCTTACTCTCTCCACCTCCAGGATGGGCAGGAAGGGTGCCAAGGTGGCTTCCACAGGCCTCCCACGCAAGGATTTCAGGGAAGCCTCAGGCTCAAGGTAAGAGGTCATCACTTAGCTGGGGCAAGATGGTTGTGACAGGTGTGACACAACGATGAAAGAAGTCCTAGAGGGTGTGTGACAGGACCAGACTGCATTACATATATTTTTAGGTAGGTGTCTAGCATTTTTTAAATGATGTTAAAGGAAAAATTGTCTATATAATTGGCCCTCTGTATCTTCATGTTTCACATATCCAGATTCAACTACTACAGATTGAGAATATTAAAATATAACTGATTTGGTACTGAAGAGGTAGAGACTTTTTTCCTTGTCATTATTCCCTAAGCAGTGTAACAATTATTTACACAGAATTTACATTGTATTAGGTACTATAAGTATTATGTAATCCACAGATGACAAAGCACATGGGATGCTGAGTATAGAGTATATGCAAATAAATGTACCATTTTAGGTAAAAGAATATTCATAAATTTTGGTGTCTGTGAGAGATCCAGGAACCAATGCCCCACAGTTAGTAAAGGATGACTGCACTTTTCTTTTTCTCTAGGTAAAAATAATTTCAAGGGGATTTTGTACTTATTGGATACTGGAGTGACTCAAACATGACCTAAGGACCTTTCATGACCTTGCCTTGGTGACTTCTATAACATTGTTTTTAAATGCTCTCCCTGTTTTTTACAGCAACATGGAACAATTGACCTGATATTCTTTGAATTCACCAACTCTTGGAGTCATGGTAGGACCATCAGTGCCTTTGTGGGGTGGACCCCACTTCCCTATGGTTTTCCCTCCCTATGGTCTGTACTCATCTGTCAGCTGATGGGAGCAGGATTTCTTTACTGCCTTATCTTCACATGCACTCCCACTTTGCCCACTCATACGTCACTCTCTAGACCATGTGCTGCTTTTCTTTTTGTGGTATTTATCAATATCTAGCATTCCATTATACAAATACTTTTTGCCTGTCTCTCTCTCCTACTAAAGTAAAATTTTCATGAGAACAAGGATGCTTTTTGGCTCATGCCTTTACCCCAAGGGCCTAAGAAGTATTTAATGCCTAATAGATGCTCAATGAATATTTTTTGAATGATCTTTCACTCTTTCAATATTAAAAATCCTGCCCCTAGTTAGTTTTTCTTAAATTTTAGATTTATATACATCAAAGTACTTCACTCATTTAGTTTTAAATTTTTACAATTGTCTATCTGAATTTCTTTTGAAAGACTCAATCCAAAGCTAACAAAATATCACTTGCAATATTTTTCAAGAACTTAAATCCAAAGCAAGTGCTTGCAATATGTGGCCTCTGTAATCACTATGAATGTTATAAAAGCTAAGCAGACTGTTGAGTTTTAATGAAACCTGAAATTGAACAAATTCACACAACCTCAGAACTGAGTGCTCTGCATGGTAGTTGCAAGTACTATATGAAGTGGTCATCGGCACCTGCAAACAACACATATCCTGGGAAGGATATTTAAGTGTGAAGAGTGGTTCTGGGATAACTGAGGTGCCAGTCTATGTCTTTGTGAATGTAAATTATGGGAAAGAGAAACAGGCTTCACAGTTTAAATTTAATATAATACTAACATTTTTACATATTAATTTAGCCCTAGTTTACTGTTATAGTATTTTAGTTTCCACTTAGCAGTTTGGGTAGCACCTGGTTATATTTGGAGCTGTTTCTTTTATTGATAAACAGTACATTTAAAATCAACCAAAATCCATTTATATACAAGAATGCTTTCTATAGTATGTATCTGCTTATTTCACACATGGTCTTGCCCCCAAGGCATATGGGAATAAGACCTGGTCAGGGTATATGTATAAGTGTGTGTGGGGTGGGGGCAGGTGGAGAGAGTATAAATAACAATGAGGATTTTTTATACCAGGAAATTAAAATTTTGGAAAGTGGAAGGCAAATGAAACTTCAGAATTGGCACCCCGGACACCCCTCCAGTTGCTTTTGTACTGAATACACATCTATGGAGTCTTGCCTTTAACCTGAGATACACATCATGGGACTCTAAGGCAAAAGACCACTCACATGCAGGACTGGCAAAACTCTGCCTTAGGGCAGCATGAGTGGATCCATACGTATTGAGACTTAATAAGAATCTGTGGATTGAGTTAATTAAATATCCAATAGTAACAATAAATTAGTTCCTAAAATAAAAGTGTAAATATAACTTTTGTAGTGCAAATATTTTGTTGAAAAAAAAATCTTTTCTTTTTAAGAAATTATACTGAGAGGTGTAAGGAGGTCTTTAACCTATACTCTCAGAAACAGTATCATTACTTAGCTTCAAACTAAATATTAAAAATAAAAACAAAGAAAAAGTATTGTCAATTTTTTTTGTTTCTACAAAATAGTTTGCTCCTTTGAGTTATTAACATATGAGTGTGTATGTATGTGTGTGTATACAATTGTAAAATCTCTTAAGAATTTAGGAAATGACACTAAAATATAAATAGACTGAATCCTGAAAAATAATTTGAAGTTAAAAGTGTCTCTGCCCACTATTTCCCCACCATAATATATATTTTTTCCCACTGGATTGGTTTACTTTTGTGTTTGTTTGATTTTGGTTTTATATTTAATGAGTCAATACATGTAAGTTTTTCCAAAGTGTGCTGACTTAAAATGACACTTGCTTTTTCAGTGGGGCTTTTCAATCATTGGAATGCTGTATTTATGTACATAGAAGAGAAAAAGAGGTTCTACACTCTTTCTAATAGTTAATGTAACATTTTACCAAAGATTATAAGATAGAACTGAAGCAGACTGGTAAAATTTAGATTTTAAGTATTTTTAGCTTGCATTGCAGTATGGAGCCACACAACCCTCATTTCCATTGCTATTTCATGCCAAGTACTTTGGCTGCACCATGCTTAAATATCAATTTAGAAAAACATGTCTGTCAGCAGCTCATTATCCCATCAATTTAAGCTACTATATCATAAATTTATTGCAAACTGCAGATGGCCTCAAAGATTGTGTTGACTGTATAGAAAATATGCTGGATGCTTTCTAAATGTATAGCAAAATAAGAGGCTTTCTCTAAGCCAAGACTCTCTATCTCTTTCAGTGAGCCAAGAAAATATTTGGATTATCATTCAAATTTTCTCTATCAGTCTTTTAGGAAGCAGTATGCTTTCCAATAAAAATGGGTGGAAAAAGAGTTCAGGAAAGATCTCCATGAAATAACAAAATGAAGTTATAGTACTCTCATCCTCTGAGAGGATCTCTACTATGTGACTCATAATAAAGTTAACATATACAGACAATAAAAATTTGAAAATTTATTTTTCTGCCATGATAACAAGGTTTTAAAAGTTAATTCACTGAGTCACTTAATCAAACGCAGGAAAGAAATTTCAAAGCAATAAGGAAGCAAATCCCCATTTGAATAAGAATCAAAAAGGTACCAATATAATAATACCGTAGACCAAGGAACAACCAGTGGAACATTGACTTATTAATCACATTTTATCAGCTATCAGAATATTTACTACCACTATGCCTTCCATGACTTTAACAAAACTGAAAATTAAAAATTATATTGCCTACAATACTTGTCAGTATTGTGTACTGCAATAAACAGTATAATAAATCTTATGAAGAGCCTGAAGTATTATACGTAAATATAAAGACTCTCCTTTAATAAAATTCTTAAGAAAGTTAATTTTGAAAATGCATTAACAGAGACAACTCTACATCAAGTTCTGTATGCTTCATCTGATTGAGAAGAAGAGAAAATAGTCTGCTGCACAATAAAATACATCGAAGTCTTCCAAAATATGCGCTCTACAGAATTCTGTTCAGAAGTAAACTTGTAGTTTAGAGGAGAAGCCTTAGGACTAGCAGCCAGTAGGGTGAATTCTGTCTTACTTGGTGCAATATTTTCAACAAGTCTTCAAACTTCTGTCAATTTCAGATTCTCATCTATGAATTGAAGACTTGAGACCAAATCATGCCTAAAAATCTATTAATAATGACATTCTGTGATTCTAGAGTGAAAACACTCTCACTTAACCCAAATTCTTGAAACCTCATCATAATTAAGTTCTTTAAAATGATCTTTTGCATTTGTTAGTTATTATGTTTTTACTTTTAAGATATTTTATATGTAAAATTTTATGAATATTGATTATTTTTGGTTGAGGGGAGTATATGTATATATGTGTACATATGCTTGCACCTGAATGTAGTTTGAATAATTGTAATCAATTTGTATCTCCTAGATTTTTTGTACTGACTTTTTACTCTTAATATTATTTCACAAAACCGTTTTTAGATGTGAGAACTAACTGTGCTGCACACATGAAAATATCTTGAAACCCTAACATGTATTTCTGAGTTTAGGGATTTTTCTCCATTCGAAAGTGGGTCCCTCAAATTCTTTGTTGTTTCTTTGTCCCTCTTTGTTGTTTATCAGATTAATTGTTGCATATAGCAACAAGTTGCATACTGATAATAACACAAATAACTAGGCAAGCTAATATTTACTCAGAGGTGCTTTGTATATGTCATTTCATTTAGTAATGACAATTGAATTTTCAGAAAAACCCTATTGTCACCTAATTTTTAAAATGAGAAAAATGGGACTCAGAACTTACATAATTCTCTCAGTTGCTCAGCTTATGGCACTGGTTTTGAAATCCAACTGAATTTTTAACATCTTTACTATTCTTCAATGCAATTTTTTTAAAAATCTCTATGTGAAATGACATTCCATCCTTTTAATTGCCACGTTTTTTTTGCCATTCTTTCATGGGTAAAAAATTAGACTATTTTTAGGTTGTCAGCAGTATTTATAATGCTAATATAAAATACATATAAACTCTTTGTGTATGCATGTGTGGATTATTTTTTTTACTTAACTATTCAAAATAATGGATAAACGAAATATGATACATATATATACACATGTATGTATGAGTGTATTTTTGTATATATGTACACACATATTGTCTATACATGTATAAAATATTCAGCTTTAAAAACCAAGGACATTCCAACACATGCTACAACATGAATGAAACTTGAGAACACTGTGCTAAGTGAAATAAGCCACTTACAAAAGAACAAATTCTGAATGATTCTGCCTCAACACGATGTCTAGAATAGTCAAATTTATAGAAGGAGAAATTAGAATGGTTGCCATTAGGCACTGAATGAAGGAATGAAGAGGTAGTGCTTTATGGGCAGATAATTTCAGTTTAGACAGATGAAGACATTCTGGAAAACAGTGAAAGTATTGGTGGCTCAACAACATGAATGTGTGTGAATCCACTGAATTGTACACTTAAACATGGTTAAAATGGTAAATTTTATGTTGTGTATATTTTACCATGACTTTAAAAATGAATCAAAACAACAAAAAAAGAAGCATATTCTTTTTTAAAAAGAACAGTTCTTTTCTATTCAGTAGCTTTCAACACTGTTTTTTTGTTTTGTTTGCTTTTTGTTTTGCAGTGCTAGGGATTGAACTCAGGGCTTCAGGCATGCAAGGTAAGCATTCTACCTCCAGGCAACATCTCTAACCCTCAAGACATTTGTTTCTGAGAGGTTTCCCAGTATTACCTGAATGTTTCAAGATCACATGTACTAATGAGATATAACCTAAGTAAGTACAGCTCATAGATGCTTGCTACAGTCTGCCAGGATGATCTTGAAACATGATGAACCTCAGTGGCTTGAGCAATGATGTTTTGGGAGTGTAATGGGTGAGGAGAGACAGGGCCATACTAAATTTTGGTGCATTGATCTGTCTGTAGGGATAGTTTCATAGTCAGTAATCAATAGACCATGGAGTTTCTAAAAAGACATAATGAATGAAGGCTTGCTTCAGGCCAGGATCAATACACAGAGAGCCAACCTAGTGGGGCAGCGTATCATCTTTTCAAAGAGTTGACAGGAAGGATGGGACAATCTCTGGGGCAGGAGCAGAAATTGGCAAGAACTCAAATGCTCAAATTTGTTGGGAAATTAAAATATACTCACATTCTTCTGAGTGCTGGATAGCCCAAAACAATTACAAGATACCTAGTTAGTATTCAGGGAAGATCAGTGGCAAAATGGATTCCAAATAGAAAGACTAACTTTGCATTTATTGAATTATTGTACAGTCATTTATTAACTTTTAAGCTTGGGATAGGGCTTTCTCAATAATTCAGTCTACAACTTGAAGATATCAATTTTCGTAGACCAAAGGTAATGAAAAAGGAATTTTCCTTCTAATTAAGTGAATTAATTTCCTCCTAGGACCTTGAAATGTATTAAGATAGGTAATCTTTAGTAAATATTCAGCAGAAAAGACAAATTCACTTGCTAAAAATGCCTAGTTAAAAGGCAGAGTTTCTAACCAACTATAGCATCAGTTCCTTGAATATGTTAATCTTTGAAATAGTCTACTGGAGAAGACTTCTATATGTGGTAAACAAATTTAGCAGAGTAGAAGGGTACAAGATCAACCCAGAAAAATCAATAATTTTCTTAAACTCCAGAGCTAGAGTAACAAAAACAGCATGATATAGGCATAAAAACAGAAAGACCAATGAAACAGACTAGAAGACAGAAATAAATCCACATATATACATGTCATCTGATCCTTGACAAAATGCCAAAGCCTATGTAAAAGTAAAGGTAACTTTTTAAATAAATAGTGCTTTAATAGCTGAATATCCATATATAGAAGAATGAAACTAAGTCCCTACCTCTTACCCTGCACAAAAATCTACTCAAAATAAATCAAAGGCCTAGGAATTAGACCAGAAATAGTGAAGCTACTAGAAGAAAACATAGAGGTAACACTCCAACATACTGGTGTGTGGGGTCTGACTTCCTTAAAAAAGCCCTTAAAGTCAAAAAATAAAACCAAGAATCAATAGATGAGATGGCATTAAATTAAAAAGTTTCTGCACAGCAATGGAAACAAAGGCATGAAGAAAGAAACTAGAAATGAGAGAACATCTTTGCCAGCTACTTTTATGACAAGGGTTTAATAACCTAATATATAAAGAACCCAAAAACTTAATACTGAAAAAGCTAATAAACTCCTTAATAAATGGGCCAAAGATCTAAATAGATATTTATCAAAAGAAGAAATAGAAATGGCCACCAAATATATTAAAAAAAAAATTTTGTTCAACACTCTTAGCAATCAGGGAGATGAAAATCAAAAATACACCAGTTTTATCTCACCTC